CCTAGTTTCCCCAATGTAGTAATATGTTCATATTAGGGGGTTTGGGGGTTCCATTTTTTGGATCCTTTAGGGGGTCTGGGTGTTTGCGAAATGCTGAAGCACACATGTGTACAGCTTAGCCACGAAGACACAAAGGTTTATACTAGACCAAAATTTGCACGTTGGCAACATGACCGGCCAAGCGACAGCTTGACGTAAACGCTTAACCCTAACGGTCTAACGTAGATGACCCTCAAATGGATCAGTATTGAATATCATCCTTTTCCTGCATTAAACCTCAGCAAAGGAATACAACGTGGCCCTAGGGATCCAAATAGCCCAGCGTAGGTAAAAAATGCAGACATTATTGCCCGATGTAGGTATTACTTGTACACTTGGTTCCCTATGGGGTTATGTGTGCTGAATGTTAAGAAGGAACCCCCAGACTTCTACTACCGAAGGAAGCATGGAAGCCCATGTAATCTGCTTTCGAAAGGGACAGAAGACAAGGCACACCCTCTTTGGGGGGTTTCCATGCTAGCTTGCTTAAGCGTAAGCCGTACGAACCCAAAGTCCCATGTATCACGAGCCGTGTACAAATATGTGGAAATATATACATATATGTTTATGCTTGCACTCCCCATGATCCACTGGAGAGTCCGTTTGCAGCAATATATATATGCCTATGCATACTTCACAATTACATGAAAAAGAAAACCCCATGCTGAGGAGCTGATTTTCTATACCGACTTCATCTTAGAAAAGAACTTGACACAGAAAACAGCCTAGGCCGTATGAAAACAATAGAGACCGCAATTTCACATGACTCTAAATTCCAATTAACTTCCTTCCTGGTTCTTTTATACAACTTTCTTCTATGAAAGCCTTTTAACAACAAAGAGAACTCTAGTTTTAGTTACCTTTCCTTTGGGTTCATTTATATAAGCTCCTTTATGAAAAAACCTCTCAAAAAACAATGAAAGCTTTTGAAATCAAAGAAAGCCCAAACTCTGACTGGATGTATTTTGAGCTCATTCATATAAGCTCCTTTTTGAAAACCTTATACAAACAAGCTGGGCCCAAGAAATGAAGGAGCGGTCTTTTTCTCAGTTAATTTTCCCTTGGGCTCGTTTGGATGAACTCCTTCATAAACCCTAAGCCTTAATTCCTGAAACCTATAAAGGCTGTACAAAAACAAAAGACACCCTGGACATTGAAGAATCCTGAAGTCAAATTGAATTTTCCTTGGGTTTTGGGTTTTTGGGTCTAGGGCATGTATAAACTCGTATATGAAAACCCTTGAAAGACACAAGTGAAGGAGCATTATTGAATCTAGTTGTGTTTCCATTGGGCTCGTCTGTATAAACTCCTTTAGAATGCCCTAATAAAACCTAGAACATGATCCGAAGCAAGCCCCCAAATCTTTGTCGGATGTCCTTGGGTTCCCTTATATAGCTTTCGTTATAAAAGCCATATAGGGCAACAAGGCCTGATATATAAAGGAGATCCCTAGGCCTTTCTGATTCATGTGTTATATCCATTTACCCTAATGACCTCGAACACCAACTTTCTCCTGGGGAAAGCTGGTTCTTGTAGGCAAATCGGCGTTTCCTTCGGGAAAACAACAGAAAAAGAACAGTAACTTTTTCAGAGTTATGGTGGCTGCCGAAAAGGTTGTTTTTTTTGAGTTCCCTGTTTCTTTAATAAACGAATATAAAGAAAGGAAATTACGGAAGCACGTGAAGCACAACATGCACACAAACGAAAAAATGGGAACTATGGTGGCCGGCCAACAAGTTTTGTGGTTTGTTTTGGAAAATGTTTGCTTTCTAGACGCAAAAATCAGTTTTCCGAGAAAAGCTGGTTTTCCTGAAAATCGTGAGGCCAGTCATTCCCAAAACACAACCTCTTCCTAGAAACACGTTGGTTTTTGAAGCCCAGGCCTTCCAAAAACCCACTCTTTGGCTAGCCACCAGAGTTCCCAATTTTTCTGTGTGTGTGTGTGTCATTTTTTGGTTTCCTGTGCTTCCATAAGTTCCTTTTTTAGTACTTCGTTTAATACAGAATATATAGGCAAATACGATCATATTGAATACAGACGAACTTAGCTTAATCCTTTGTTTCCCGATAACTCCCTTTAAAGACCCCTTATGGGGGGTTCCATGTCAGTTCGGGTGAGGGTAACCGCAGACCCTAAACCTTACACTGTCAATCCCAAATCGTCAAGTATTTTGGCCTAAACCTTGATTTCTAAACCTTACCTAGACCCTCCAATGCAGTACCTTTTTGGTAGTCCTGATAAGAGTCCTAAGCAAAAAACCATACCAAACTCAAAAAGGAACTACATTGGAGAGTCTAGGTAAAGCGTAAACCCTAAACCGTGTAGATGGAAAACTGGTCGCAGGTTCCAAGCATGGCGGGGCGGGCTTGGCTGTGGTTCAACTGCACACAGTTTTGGACTGAAGGTGTAGGGGTTAGGTTATAGGGTAGACCTTGCTCCGTAAATCCTATATGCGCTATAGTCTAAACTCCTTAATGGGGTTATATAGGGGAGTACCTAGGGGAGTATTGCAGGGCTTACCAAGGGGTATACCAGAAGATCAGATTACAACTCATACAGTATGGGCGTGAGTTTAGGGCTTAGGGATAACTGGCTGGGTGTACCTGGTGAAGAGTTCAAGGGGGTGAGGTTTGCACAGCTTAGGCTCTGAGGGTCTTTTCTGAAATTGACGCTACCCCTCTTTGGCACCCTCGCTCGCGCTCTCTCTTTCTCTTTCTCTTTTTCTTTCTCTTTCTTTCTTTCCTTCTCTGTCTCTCTCTCTCTCTCTGTCTCTGTGTCTCTCTCCCTCTCTGTCTCTGTCTCTCTCTGTGTCTCTCTATTCTTCTCTCTCTGATTTATGGTTTCTTACAATAGTTGGCCGTTCAAGATCTGCGGGGTGCATGGTAATCATCAACGGATTGCAGGGACATCTGTGCTAGATGATTTCGTCGGCCAAGCCTGCACCACCCCCACCTCCTCTTTTCACCTTAATTCGTTCGTGCAGGGCACGGCTTCGTTCTGTTTTGGAGAACCTCTTATCTTTCTGGAGTTTCCAACCATCTACCTACAGTTTTACAAGGAATCTAGGTCCATGATATTGTTAATCATTGGGGTTTAGGGTTCAGGGTTTAGGGTTTAGGGCCTACATAAACCTAGTTTCCGTTTCATTTTCCATGTTCTTTTTCATTTGATGCTCCATTCTACCCCAGGAGATTCAGGCTTGTACGTTAGCGGCTTCGGGGGCTCTAGTGGCGAGTTGGAGTTTAGGTTTGGGTTGGGTTTAGGATTTGGGTTTCAAGATTCACGGCTTAGTGTTGTAGGTCTGGATGGTTGACGGCCGCTATCATCGGAAGATGCAGAATTGCTGGGGGACTTGTGAATCATGTTTGAGATTAAATTGCAGAAGTACAGCCCGAGCGATATTTTGCATACGAAAGGCCTGCACACATAAAAGGGAGCCTGGGATGCCTAGCAGAAGGACACCTACATGCATGGTATCTCAAATAGACCTCATCATGACATCGGTTTAGGGTTTAGGGTTTAGGTTCATGCTGCTACAAAAGACCCTCCGCGTTAAGGGTTACATAGCTCGTAACCCTAAAACCCCGTAATTAGATCCCAACCCCTATACCCCTCTACAAGTTTTATAGCATAAAAGGAGCCTACTTGGAGCTTCACGGGACCTAGTAACTACTTATAAGCGGGCATATAACCCCGCTTTTACTTCCCCCAACTGGACGTATGTAGGTTACTGATTTTTAAGTGCGGTTATAAAACAATCCCAGTTATAAGTAGCTACTATCTGCAAGTAGTAAGGACCAGCCTTCTCGTCGCGCTTCTGTGGGCTTTGGTGACGAAGAGCGCGCTTCAGTTTACGCCGGTGCTATCCAGGCCTAAGGACCAATGCGTTTAATAGGGCCTAGGGCTGAGGGTTTACGGCAGGGTCTATACCCCCATAACGTAAGCCCAGGCTCCTTAGGAGTACACGTTTTCAGCTCTATTTGAGGTGGGGAAGTTGCAGGCGGGAAAAGTGGACAAGATGAGTATAGGGTTTCAAAGCTGTCGGTCAGAGATTTGAAGCTGGGTTTAGGGTTTAGGGTCTGGGTAGGCCCCTGGGATATTTAATATTTTCCCTAATGGCTTTACTAAGGGACCCTATATACTAATATTTTTCAAAGGATTTTAGGGGCCAACCCAGGGGTTTAGGATTCATTCTTGTGAAGGGGGGTTTTGTATGCTTGGGGTTCCGAGTAGGCCTTGGGGTTTCCAGGGCTTTCGGTCGGGTAGGGCCTTTGGCTCCTGGTTTCGGACTTCTAGGGAGGGCTGGGCGAGGTCAATGGTGTTTGGGAAAGTCTTGGTTTTAGGGTCTGGGGGGGTTTAGGGTTTAGGGTCTTCGGTTTCTTGGCTTAGGGCCTTTGATTTTGTGAAGCCTACGGGAGGGGAGTTTATATAGGGCGGCTTAGGGTTTAGGATTTGGAGTTGATACCCTAAACCCTTAAACGCTACGCCGTTTGCCTTAAATGGAGTTTGGGGTTTACTTGGCTTAGTGTTCAGCGCTTATGGATTTTTCTAAGCTTAAGGTTTAGGCTGGGAATAGGGAATGGATGAGAACATCGGAGTCTAGGTCTTCGGACTACAGGACCTTTTTAAGATGTGCGGGACTTCATGGAGACGGCATCGGAAAATTGAGGTAAAAAAGCGTGTGGAACTAGGAGCCCTGGTCCCGCCTAGTAGGCCTTGATTGTGGCTTCGTAGGGAGTGGAGAGCGGATCCCTATAGAGTACTTACTGTAAAACCCTCGACGCGAATGGCCGTCGACGCTTCTATAACCTAATCTCCTCATTCCCAACTATACCGTTAGGAAGTTGAGATGTGAAGTTTCCAGGCACATGTAGGCGCCACATTAGAATATCTCGTTCCTTATGAAAGCGTGACATATGTTTTGGGGCTGGCGTTTTCTGGTTTGGTAGTTTTAGAGTTTGGAGTTAAGAGCCGGGCTGAGGGTTTATGGGGCCCTGGGGCTTAGGTTTCAAGGGGAACACGTGTTTTTTGTTTTTGTTGTCTGGTCTTTTTGTTGTTGGGCCCCCTCAAAGACAACCCAGGCAGGCCAGCAAGCGAGTCAACCCCCGTCCCCCGCCCCAAAAGCAACAAAAACAACTCCCCCGCCCAAACAGAACAACACGCTCCTGCCCAAACCGCAAAAAATCATCGGCCCGCCCAAACAGCAAAAAACACACGCTCCCTCGCCGACCGGCCCAAACAGCAAAACAACAACACGCACCCAGCCCAAACACCACAAAACAAACACGCCCCCTCCCCGGCCCGCCCAGACAGCAAAATAAAACGTGCCCTCTCCCCGACCCGCCCAAACTGCAAAAACAACAAAAAGGCCCCAAACAGGAAAAGACGCACCCTTTCCCGGCCCGCCCAAACAGAAAAATCAACGCGCCCCTCGCCCCAACGCCCTAGCAGCAAAACAAACATGCCGCTGGCCACTGGCTGTGCATTTCTACGAAACAAGCGCTCGGGCGTGGGTCATCCAGATATAGTCCCTTAATATCCCTATATAGTCCCCCTATAACGCCTTTTAAAGGGACCTTATTATTTGGGTCCTTGGACCCTTAGGGCTTATGAGCCCAAAACCCACCACAGTGGAGGCCAGACCAATCCAGCCGAGTGACGCTGGAGGCAGCCAAAAGGAAGGCGGCAAGCGCAAAGAAGGTGCGCTTCACGTTCAAGACTTGGTCTAGGGTTTAGGGTTTACCTTAGACCCCAAAGACCTTCAGTTTTAGGATTTCATGTAAAGAATTATACCATAGGGTCCTAGAACTGAAGGGCTTTTGGGTCTAAGGTAGGGCTTCCAGACTTGAAGGATCCTGCATTTAGGATTTAAAGCTGTGATTGCTGGGTAAGGGTTTAGGGTGTGGGTGGCGGGTAGTGTTGAGGGTGCAGGGTTTAGGGGTGTAGGCTTGAGGGCTTCAAGTTGAGGGCTTGAGGGTCTATAGGCTCTAGCGTGTTTCGGGTTTCACGACCACCCCCTGCAGGCATTGCCTAAACTTGACACCCTACTTTATGCCTTGTCGGGCTTCGGGCTCGAGACCTGTAGGTCTCTTTCTCCTTTGTTTTGGATCCCCAGGTTTGCAGGTGGAAAATAATGTTAAAGAGAGTTGCACAAGAAGGCTTGTTTTGTAACCCTAAGCCCTAAAACCTGAACCCTAAACCCTAAAACCCTAAACCCTAAAACCTTAAAACCCCCAAACCCTAAAACCCTAAAACCCTAAACCCCTAAAACCCTAAACCCTAAACCCTATGAACCCTAAACCCTAATTTGTGACGTGTTTTTAAACGGAGGCCAAGAGCTGAAGGGCGGTGGGTGTTTCTCTGGCAGGCCTCTGTCTGCAAGCACTAACTACGAGTTAAAGCTTCTGAACCTGTAAACCCAAAGGCCCCACGTAGCTATATAGTATATACTCTAAAGTAGTTATATGGGAACCCCTTTGGCCCTAAGTATATACCACGTAGCTACATGGAGCCTTTGGGAAAGAGGCTGGGGACACTCGCAATTTTCTAGGCGCCCGAAAAAGCCTTCTTAGGTCTTGTTTCCATGAATGCGCGAATCAGTTTTGATTGGCGTCCTGAAGCATCTATCCTAAACCCTCGCCCTGCAAGCACTCTTGTCGAAGTTGGAGGTCTGTGGTGTTGGGGATTTGGGATTTTGGGGTCTAGACTAATAAGATTGAGTACGCAAATACACATGATGCGACAAACAAGGCCTACAGGCTTTCTTTGCAAAGGGGCTTTGGGGAGTTCAATGTTTGTTGGGGAAGATTTTAAGATTTCGGTCTAGTGCCATGATTGCGGTTGTCGGTATTTGCTATGTGAACGCATGGCTTACTAGCTTTTTTTCTGATACGGCAGGCTCTTTCCTCACCTGGCCCATCCCCCCAGACCTTCCGAATCAGGTTAGAACTTCAGAGCCGGGTTGAAGGATTAGGGTATAAGGGTATCGGACGCAGTGTTGAAAAGCGTGAGAATTAATAGGTTCCTTTAGTTTTCCGAAAGGGTTGTTTAGCATAGCACAGAGTTCCAGGCTGCTACTGTCCTCCCAGCGAAGCGAAGCGGGAACCCACAAATGAATTTGCAAAACTGCCCTTATAAAAGAGGCTCTACAGTGGTCCATGCGTCGTTATGCGGGTAGATCCTCCCAAGCCTCACGGGCAGCTAGTAAGACACCAACGTGCGTATGCATAGAGGTGGACCTCGACAACCCGCCGAAGCGGCCGCTGTCTGGTTACATGCGGTATATGATGGACGTGCGTCCTGAGGCGCGGCCCTAAACCCTACCCCGCGTTGCGAATGTGGGGGCTAGGTTCTGGAGGATTTATGTGTGCTTTTGTGAGGGAGATCCTAGAAAGAGGTAAGACCGCACGAAGGACTCTTTTTGGCCCACCGTACTCCTTCCACCCGGATAAGTAAAGGTTTAAGAGGGAACATTATGTAGGTTCCCTCATGACGTGGGTACAGTGCCAATAGATCTCTTAAATCATCAGCTTAGGCCTCGGAACTTAGGATCAACGGCCAGTGTTCAAGAAGTTGGGGTGTGTGGGGTTGATGAGATGAATCACTGCCTACGGCAGTTTTTTTCGAGCTACAGTATCTGATGTGGTATGCTCGCTGGCTCCCTCCTTCACCACTCTGCTGAGGTCGAGCGCCAGGGGTGGCCAAGTCTGTTTTTTTTCAGGCCACATTACTGTAGGCATTGTCGTCCTTGCGGAGCAGGTCTCATGGATGTGGTGGGCTATGAGCATTTTTTTCATAGGCGAAGCTCTCATCTCTGAAGCCGTATGTTGTGTGGCCAAGCTCGGAGCAACTGCATTCCTAACTATCCCACCGAACTGCTATATTTGATGGTTCGGACGTGGAGCCAAATAGCAAAACTTAAGTAGGTGGTCCTCAGCCCGCTGCTCCAGTAGCAAACCTGATCGTGATATGGGAGATGCCCGCACGTTCAGAAAGAGGGCTCCTCCCACTGTGGCACGGTAATTTGGCCTAATTCCCACATGTGCTGCAAGTTATATTTGTCTCGCCTGCGAAATGGTTGTTTTCATGGGCCCATATACCCGATCCAGGGGGTGTCTGGCATCACAATCCATTTGTTCCCTGAACCCTACCTACACCCCAAAAGTATGTAGAATAATGACCTTGTGGGCTATATTTACGGGTTTTGGGGCCATTATTTTACTTACTTTTCGGGGTCCAGGTAGACCCAAAACCTCCTGGCCTAGAGCCCCAACATCTCCGACACTTGCACCATTCGGGCTCCAGCACCTTGAGCCGTGAGGTCCTTTCTTTAGAGTTTAGGGTTTAGGGTATTCTGCCCCGGCGTGCAAGTCCAGGATGTCTGGTCTGGTGTAGCAAGTTATCAGAGAGCAGCTCCTTCTTACTTTTCAAGAATCCGCATTATTATAGTCATTAGATTTATACTTATTACTATTATTTGTTTATTACATGTGCAATTCTGGTTCTTAGTTTCTTCGACCCACACAGCTTAAGCCTCAAACATGACCCAAGCCTTGGATACTGCCCCCACTCAGTAACAGTTGGACAGTATTTGTCGTGTAATATCGGTGGAGGGGTTAGGGCTTAGTACATTGATGTAGACACTGGTTGTAGACGATTCGTGGTTGGGGGCAGTACCTGCCTCAAGCCCTTTAAAACCCCAAGGCTTGATTTTTCAACGTCTGCAGGTGGCGAAAGCCATGGGCGATGCCAAAATCACGGCGCGCAGCAGCTTTTGTGTGATTCCAGAGTTGGAAGTTGAGTTTGAGGGTTCGGGTCGGGGATCTTGGCTTGTGGGGACACTGGAAAAAGAGTTTTGCATTTTGGGTGAGCACCTACAACCAGTGCTCTCTCTTCTCTTTTACCCGCATGTATCTTGAGAGATCTTGAGAGTTCGTGATTCCGGCTGCTTTCTGCAATTTAGTGCGAGAACCTGTTTATCAACAAGATGATCTGAGTTGTTGCTGTGGGCAACGAATGAAGGTTGAGAGACTTTGAGTGTTTTTGAGCTCCTCAAAAAGGCTGCGAAGGCTCGAAGGACAAAGATGTGTTCGCATGATCTGGCATTTCTTTGAATTTTCTTACAGCACAAACATTACCCTAGGGATCCAAGTATACAAATACTGCCTACATGGGGCGCAAAAATAATCTGTACATGTTACCTACATTGGGCTATTGGACCCCAACGTAAACTCCCTGAACCAATCATTACCTATGTTGGGCTATTTGGATCCCTAGGGCTGGGCTTTCATACAAATTGCCTGCAGAAGCCGCAGAGATCTAGTCGCGAGGGTCAAGTCAAAGAGGGAAGAGCAGCGTTTTATGTTTAAAGCCTTTGGGGGGGGTTCAACATGCTGCGCGTCCGCTGGGCCATACTAGGAGGTTCATGGGAATAAGCTACAACTTTTATAAGCCCCTCAACTGGACTTATGTAGATGACTAAGTCCCATGAGCTTCCGCGTAACCCTATGCCCCTAATTGCCGATTACTGTGAACCATGACCCCTAACCGCGTTATCCACACAAACTGTCAGGAGATTGCGAAGGAGATTGGGGCGAGATGGAGAAAGCTGCCAGCGTTCTGACTTAACTTTCGGATGTCACGGGGCTGTTCTGCAGGGGTGTTTTTTTGAGGGTTTTGAGGATGCTGTCCAAGTTGCAGTGGTGAAGCATGCAGGGCTTCAATGCGGAGGTTGAGGAGTTGAGGGGGGTTTGTTTGGAGTTGTTTCAGAGACAAAGCTTGGAGTTGCCACATGAATCCGGCATTCCCAACAATCCCACAAAGCCACTTGAACATGTGAACGGTCAGTTTCCACCCGTGTAATTTCAACAGAAGCCTGCAGCCTCAAGCCCACATCTCGAAATCAATGAATCAGGACACGAAGAAGAAGCCATATCAGAAAGCCTTCGAGGCTTGCGAGCCATGTGTTCACGGATTAGGTCGGTCGACAGCTCTATAGGGTTCAGATTGTGCCTGACAGAGTTGTGTAGGCATGGGATGAATTTAGGGTTTAGGGTTTGGGAGGGGGACGCTGTGGACACCTGTTTGTTTGGAGGGTTGACCTGTTTGTTTATGGAAGCGTATC